CATGGTTCTTTCTCTGGATGTGGACAGCATTTTCCATCATGAGACTTTCGGAGATGTCTTAGTTCCTTGCATTGCTAAGAAGAGCTGTCAATGAGCTGTTACTGTGTACAACATTCTCTTGGTTCTGCTCACTTCACTCAGCATCAGTCCATACAAGTCTTTCCAGGTTTTTCTGGAATCCTCCTGCTCATAATTTCTTGTAGCACAATAGTATTCCATTACATTCATATACCACAACTTGTACAGCCATTCCCAAATTCATGGGCATCCCCTCAATTTCCAATTCTTTGCCACCACAGAAAGAGCTGCTATAAAAATTTTGTACATGTGGGTCCTTTTCCCATTTGTATGATCTCTTTGGGATACAGCCCTAGAAGTACTATTGCTGGGTCAAAGGATATGTACATTTTTATAGCGCTTTGTGCATAGTTCCAAATTGCTCTCCAAAATGGTTGGATCAGTTCACAACTCTACCAAAAACGTATTAGTGTTCCAAATTTCCCTCATCTTCTCCAACATTTAGCATTTTCCTGTTTTGTCATGTTGGCCATTCTGATAGGTGTGATGTGGTACCTCAGAGTTGTTTTGATTTGCATTTCTCTAATCAATAGTGATTTAGAGCATTTTTTCATATGACTATAGATGGCTTTAATTTCTTCACCTGAGAACTGCCTGTTCATATACTTTGAGCATTTATCAATTGGGGAATGACTTATATTTTTATAAATTATACTTAGTTCTCCATATATTTCAGAAATGAGGCCCTTATCAGAGACACTGGTTGTAAAAATTCTTTCCCAGTTTTTTGCTTCCCTTCCTAATCTTGGTTGCATTGGCTTTGTTTGTGCAAAAACTTTTCAATTTAATGTAATCAAAATTATCCATTTTGTATTTCATAATGTTCTCTATTTCTTGTTTGGTCATAAATTCTTCTGTTCTCCATAAATCTGACAGGTAAACTATTCCTTGGTCTCCCAGTTTGCTTATAGTATCAGCCTTTATAGCTAAATCATGTACCCATTGTGACTTTATTTTGGTATATGGTGTAAGATTTTGATCTATGCCTAGTTTCTGCCATACTCTTTTCCAGTTTTCCCAGAAGTTTTTGTCAGATAGTGAGTTCTTATCCCAGAAGTTGAGGTCTTTGGGTTTATCAAATGGTAGATTACTGTAGTCATTGACTACTGTGTCTGATCCACTGATCCACTGATCCACTGATCCACCACACTATTTTTAGCCAGTACCAAGTAGTTTTGATGATTGCTGCTTTATAATACAATTTAAGATCTAGAATGGCTAGGCCACCTTCCCTAGCATTTCTTTTCCATTAGTTCCCTTGATATTCTGGACCTTTTGTTCTTCCAAATGAATCTTGCTATTCTTTTTGCTTGCTCTATAAAATAATTTTTGGTTGTTTGAATGGTATGGCCCTGAATAAGTCAATTAACTTAGGTAGAATTATCGTTTTTATTATATTAGCTCAGCCTACCCACGAGCAACTGATGTTTTTCCAATTATTTAGATTTGACTTTGTGTGAAAAGTGTTTTGTAATTGTGTTTATATAGTTCTCAGGTTTGTTTTGGCAGGTAGACTCTTACATATTTTATAATGTCTACAGTAACTTTAAATGGAATTTCTGTTTCTATCTCTTATTGTTGGGCTTTGTTGGTAATATATGGAAATGCTGATGATTTATGTGGGTTTATTTTATATCCTAACACTTTGCCAAAGTTGTTTATTACCTCAAGTAGTTTTCTACTTGATTCTCTAGGATTCTCTAAGTATATCATCTTATCATCTGCAAAGAGTGATAACTTTGTTTCTTATTATGCCTATTATAATACCTTCAATTTCTTTTTCTTCTCATTGCTAAAGCTAATGTTTCTAGTACCATATTGAACAACAGTGGTGATAATGGACATCCTTGTTTCACCCCTGATCTTATTGGAAATGCTTCTAGCTTATCCCATTACATTTGATGCTTGCTAAAGGTTTTAGGTAGATGCTACTTATCATTTTAAGGAAGACTCCATTTATTCCTGTGCTCTCTAGTGTTTTTAATAGGAATGGGTGCTGTATTTTGTCAAAAGCTTTTTCTGCATCTATTGAGAAAATCATGTGGTTTCTGGTAGTTTTGTTGTTGATATGATCAATTTGTTTTCCTAATGTTGAACCATCCCTGCATGCCTGGTATAAATCCTACCTGGTCATAGTGTATTATTCTTATGATAAGTTGCTGTAATCTATTTGCTAATATTTTATTTAAAATTATTGCATCTATATTCATTAGAGAAAGTAGTCTATGGTTTTCTTTCTCTGTTTTGACTCTTCCTGGTGTAGGTATCAGTACCATATTTTTATCATGAAAAGAATTCCCTCTACTGTAAGATTTCTTCTTTACCTGTTTTCCCAAATAATCTATATAGTTTTGGAATTAATTGTTCTTTAAATGTTTGATAGAATTCATTTGTAAATCCATCTGGCCCTGGAGATTTTTTCCTAGGGAGTTCATTGATGACTTGTTCAATTTCTTTTTCTGAGAGGGGGTTATTTAAATATTTTACTTCCTCTTCTGTTAATCTGGGCAATTTATATTTTTGTAAATATTCATCCATTTCACTAAGATTGTCAAATTTATTGGCATACAGTTGGGCAAAATAGTTCCTAATCATTGTTTTAATTTTCTCTTCATTGGTGGTGAATTCACCTTTTTCATTTTTGATACTGGTAATTTGGTTTTCTTCTTTCTTTTTTTTAGATTAAATTAACCAAAGGTTTATCTATTTTATTGGCTTTTTCATAAAACCAACTCTTAGTTTTGTTTATTAGCTCAATAGTTTTCTTAATTTCAATTTTATTAATCTCTTCTTTGGTTTTCAATATTTCTAATTTGGTATTTAATTGGGGATTTTTAATTTGTTCTTTTTCATAATTTTTTTAGTTGCATGCCCCATTCATTGATCTCCTCTTTCTCTATTTTATTTATGTAAGCATCTAGAGATATAAAACTTCTCCTAAGAACTGCTTTCGCTGTATTCCGTAAGTTTTGGTATGTTGTCTCATTATTGTCATTTTCTTGCATGAAGTTATTGATTGTTTCTATGATTTGTTCTTTGACCCATGCATTCTTTAGTATTAGATTATTTAGTTTCCAATTAATTTTTAGTCTATCTTTCCATGGCCCTTTATTACATGTAATTTTATTGCATCATGAACTGAAGAGGATGCATTTAGTATTTCTGCCTTTCTGCATTGGATTGTGAGGTTTTTATGCCCTAGTACCTGGTCGGTTTTTGTGTAAGTGCCATGTGCCGCTGAGAAAAAAGTATATTCCTTTCTATCCCCATTCAGTTTTCTCCAGAGGTCTACCATATTTAACTTTTCTAAAATTCTATTCACCTCCTTAACTTTTTTCTTGTTTATTTTGTGGTTAGATGTCTCTAATTCAGAGAGGAAGAGGTTGAGGTCCCTCCCTAACATAGTTTGCTGTCTATTTCTTCCTGTAACTCCCTGAACTTCCCCTCTAAGAATCTGGATGCTATACCATTTGGTGCATATATGTTTAGTAATGATATTACTTCATTGTCTATGGTGCCTTTTAGCAGGATGTCATTTCCTTCTCTATCTCTTTTAATAATATCTATTTTTGCTTTTGCTTTGTCTGAGATCAGGATTGCTACCCCTGCTATTTTTACTTCAGCTGAAGCATAATATATTCTGCTCCAGCCTTTCACCTTTACCCTGTGCATATCCCTCTGTTTCAAATGTGTCTTGTAAACAACATATTGTAAGATTATGGTTTTTAATCCACTCTGCTATCCACTTCGGTTTTATGGGAGAGTTCATCCCATTCACATTCACAGTTGTGATTATTATCTGTGTCTTTCTCTCCATCCTATCCCCCCCCTTCTCCCTTTCCCTCTTCACTAGTGTTTTGCTTTTGACCACCACCTCCCTCAGTCCCACCTCCCTTCTATTAGCCCTTTCTCTTTTCTTCCCCTTTGCCCTTACTACTTCCCTCCCTTCTATTTACCTCCCTCCCTTTTCTTTTCCCTTTCGCCTACTACTTTCTACAGGGTAAGTTAGATTTCTATACTTTACTGATTATTATTCCCTCTTTGAACCAAATCTGATGAAAGTAAGGTTCAAACAATGCTCATTTCCCTTCCTCCTTTCCCTCTACTGTAATAGGTTTTTGTGCCTTTTTATGTCTGCACCCTGTCTTTCTCCTGGTTCAGCTGTTCCAGGGTTTTTCCTGGGGTGATATTTTCTGGGCTTTCAGAGGTCAATAAGGGAGGGTGACAGAGACTTACTTCTTTCTCTACCATCTTGGCTCCTGGAAATGGAACTCAGAATTTTTTAATAATGAAGTGTGGGCTCAAAAATGTTTGGAAACTTCTAGTTTACGTAGTGGACATGTAGGTGGCACCATGGATAGAGTGCTAAGCCTGAAGTCAGGAAGACTCATCCTCCTGAGTTCAAATCTGGACTCAAACACTTCCTAGCTATGTGACCCTGAGCAAGTCACTTAACCCTATTTTCCTCAGTTTCCTCATCTGTAAAATGAACTGGAGAAGGAAATGGCAAAACACTCCAGTTTCTTTGCCAAGAAAATCCCAAATGGGGTCACAAAGATTCGAGCAAAACTGAAATGATTAAATAAAGCTTAGATAATAGGCATTTTTCCATACACTCTCTATTACTAGTATAGATCACAGACTTTAGAGCTGGAAGAAATCCTAGAAACTTGTATAATTAAACATGCCATCAGGTCAATAAGCATTTATTTGATATATTATTTAAGTGCCTCCTATATGTCAGATACTACGAAGGGCTGAGGATACAAAGGACTACCAGTTCTTGCTCTCAAGGAGCTGACATTCAAATAAGAAAGATAACATGCAAACACACAACTATGTACAAATAATAGATATCTCTATGGCAGAGCTGTGATGAGCTCCCATTCCTGAACTCCTCCAAACAGATCTAGAAAATGTACCAGACTGGGTCCTGATGAGGAAATGCGGAAAAAGTCACAGTGAGTCCTTTCTCTGGCCCAGGTTGACATAAGGAGACAGAGAGGGAAGTCCGCAGACGCCGGAGACAGGGTTGGGCCAGGAGTACTCCACAGGCTGAGTATTCCAGCACCAAGGGAAAGGCTATGAACCAGGGCAAGAGGTGGGGCAACATATGGGGGCACCACCAGACCCAAACTGGGTATGGGGGCAGGGACAGGTGTGAACTGACAGCTTTGTTGCCCACAACCCAATTTTAGGTCACAGATACAGGACAGTGAGAAGGGGACCTGTGTTTGCATGATAGCGGCATTCCGGCAGTGGTACTCCTGGCGAAGGAGAAATGAGGAAGATCAGAAGTTAGCAGCAGAATGGCTCAGACCCCAGGCACAGAGCAGGATCTCATTTCCAACATCTAGCCCAGCCTGGAAAGGAATAACCAAGGCAAGAATTCCAAATCAAAGAGCAACTACAATTCTGCCATTCTGAACCCACAGAACTTTCCAGCTGGCTAATGGGGACAGAATCCAACAACAGTCTCATCTTGCACAGACCCGAACCCAGGTTAGAAGTTTGCAGAGCTTGGACTTTGCCCTGGGTAAGACCACTCTGGGGGCCCTGAAAGCTTACAGGTCTCTAATCTGTCCCTGAGATCCTGAAATAACACAATGTTCAATGCCCCCAAGAAAGCAGCAGGACCAGCCCAGACTTTTCCTCCAGAAGTGTGGCAGAGTGGTCACATCAAGTTTGAAGTCAGGAAGTAGGCTGGAAGAATTGGCAAACAGGGGCAGCTAGGTGGCGCAGTGGATAGAGCTCCAGCCTTGGAGTCAGGAGAACCTGAGTTCAAATGCAACCTCAGACACTTGACATTTACTAGCTGTGTGACCTTGGGCAAGTCACTTAATCCCATTACCAAAAAAAAAAAAAAAGAATTGGCAAACAAAAAAAAGAACCTGACTACAATGAGCTGTTATGCTGTTGGAGATGCTCGAAACACAAAGGAAGAGAATGACTCCAAAACATCTAAAAGTAAAGCCTCAGAGAAAAACAGAGGTTGGCCACAAACTCAACTACAATTCCTGGAAAGATGAAGCAAGAGTTGTTTTTTTAAAGCATTAAAAATGTTTTTATAAATGGAATGAGAAGGAGCAGTTAGGCGGCTCAGTGGCTAGAGAATCAGCCCTGGAGTCAGGAAGACCTGAGTTCAAATCTGGACTCAGACACTTACTAGCTGTGTGACTTTGGGCAAGTCACTTACCCTGATTGCCTCCAAAAAAAAAAGAAAAGAAAAATAATGGAATGAGAGTGCTTGAGGGGGAAAAAAATTGGGAAAGAAAATAGAGCTATAGAAGAAAAAAATTGGAAAGGAAATTAATAGCTTGGCACAGAGATACAAAACCTTACCTAAGCAACAAACTCTCTGAAAATTAAAATGGACTAAATAGAAGCCAATAACTCTATAAGGTGACAAATATTAAATCAAAATCAAAAGTCTGAAAAAAAATAGAAGAAAATGTAAGGTATCTCATAGCAAAAAAAAAAAAAAAACTAACCTGGAAAACAGATTGGGGAGGAATAAAATTAAGAATAATTGGACTATCTGAATACATGATCAAAAAGATATCCTATTTCAAGAAATCTTAAAACTGGCCAGATCTCTTAAAATCAGATGGCAAAATGGAAATAGAAAGAATACATAATCACCTCCAGAAAGAAACTTCAAAATGAAAATTTCCATGGCCTAAATCCAGAGCTTCCAGGTCAAAGAAAAAATACTGCAAGCAACCAGACAGAAAGAATTCAAACAACAAGAGCTTACAGTCAGGACCATATACAATTTAGCAGCTACCACCATAAAGGAATGGAGAACTTGGAATGTGATATTCTGGAGAGCAAAGCCTTACAGCCAAGAATAACTTATCCAGCAAAACTAAATATGATGTTACAGGGCACAAAATGGATCTTTAATGAAAGAGAGGACTTGGGGGGTAAGGGTGATCAGGTAGATCTTGGTTGATTAAAACAGATTAAATATTAAAAAAAAATCTGGAAAGCAGTCCGGAAGAAATTGGGCAGAGTCCAGCATCTTACACCATTTACCCAGATATGGTCAAAATGGATACATGACCTAGATATAAAGAAAAATATTACAAGAAAATTTGAAAAACATGGAACATATTACCTATCAGACTTATGGCTAAGTGAATAATTTATGAATAAATAAGAGATAGAGAGCAATGTGAGGTACAAAATGGATAATTTCAATTACATTAATTTTTTTTCTTTTTTTTCCCTGGGCAATGGGATTAAGTGACTTGCCCAGAGTCACACAGCTACTAAGTGTCAAGTGTCTGAGGCCAGATTTGAATTTAGGTCCTCCTAACTCCAGAGCTGGTGCTCTATCCACTGCGCCATCAATTACATTAAATTTTAAAAGTTTTTGTACAAATAAAACAAACGTACCCAAGATCAGCAAAAAAGTAAAAAACTGGGGGGAAAAACTTTATAGACAATTTCTCAGATAAAGGTCTCACATCTCAAATATATGAAGAACTTTGTCAAATCTATAAGAATACCAGTCATTCCCCATTGATAAATGACCAAAGGATAGGCAGTTTTCTGATGAAGAAATCAAAACAAATTATATATTATAAAAATACTCTAAATCATTATTGATTAGAGAAATGCAAATTCAAACAACCTTGAGATATCATTTTACATCTATCAGATTGGTTAAAACGATTGAAGGGGAAAGTGACACATGCTGGAGGGGATGTGGAAAAATTGGGCTACTCATTCACTATTGGCAGAACTGTGAACTGATCCAACCATTCTGGGGAGCAATCTGGAAATTATGCCCAAAGAGTCATTAAGCTGTGCATACCCTTTGACCCAGCAATACCACTACTAAGTCTGTTTCCAAAGATGATTAGCAAAAAAAGGAAAATTACCTCTATGTTCTAAAGTATTGTAGCAGCTCTCTTTGTAGTGGCAAAGAACTGGACATTGCAGGGATACCTGTCAATTGGGGAATGGCTGAACAAGTTGCAGTATGTGATTGTGATGGAATACTACTGTGCTATAAGAAATAATGAGCTCGATGATCTCAGAAAAACATGGATAGATTTGCATGAAATATCAAAGAGCAAAATAAGCAGAACCAAGAGAGCATTGTATACAGTAACAACAATTTTGTTTTAAGAAGAACTTTGAGTGACTAAGTCATTTTGATTATTATAAATATCCAAATTAACTACAAAGGACCTATGGAGGAAGATGCTATCTGCATCTAGAGAAAGAACTAATAAATAGAAGTATGTATAGAATGATTACACACACACACACATTTTTGTCTAATAGTAGCTACCTCTAGGGTGGGGGGTGGAAAGGCCAAAAAAAAGTTACATGATAACTTTATTAGATACTTAAAAGTAATATCTTGCAGTTTCATGTGTAATCATGTTTTTTTCTGTTCTATTATGGACATGCTTGTTTTATTTCTTAAGTTCAGAAAAAAGTAAAATAGAAAAAATTTAAATAAAAAAGTAAAAACAATATAAAATAGGATAAACAAAATATATGAATAGGATAAATTTGGAATAATCTCAAAAGGCAGGCACTAAGATTAAGGAGGACTGGGAAAGGCTTCTTACAAAAGGTGTGACTTTAACCGAGACTTGAAAGAAGCCAGGGAAGCTAAGAGAAAGAGGGAGAGCATTCCAAGCTTAAGAAAGAGCCAGTGAAAATGCTCATAATTGGGAAATGGAGTGTTATAGTCAAAGAACCAGCCCATCTTACTGAAATGCTGAGTATGTGGAAAAGTGTAAGAAGACTGAAAAGATAGGAAGAAACCAGATTATGAAGGACTTTAAAGGCCAAACAGAGGGTTTCATATTTGATCCTGCAGGTAATAGGGATCCTTTGGAATTGATTCATAAGTAGGCTAACATGTTAAGACTCCCATTTCAGGAAGATCAGTTTGACATCTGAGTGAGGCATAGATTGGAATGGGGAAAGACTTGAGACAAGGAAACCAACCAGAAGACTATTGTAGTAGTTCCAGAGAGTAAAGTGATTGTGGGCCTGTAGCAGAGTGGTGGGAGTGTCATGGAAGAGAAGGGGGATATATGAGAGATGTTACAAAGGGAGTACCAGCAGAACTTAGCAACATATCGTATATGGGGAAATGAGAGAGTGAGGAGTCAAGGATGACACCTCGGTTGTGAGGATGAGTAACTGGGAAGATGGCGGTGCCCTAGATATAACAGGGAAGTTCATGAGGTAGGTGGGTTAAGGGAGGTGGGGGGGATGGGAGGGAGAGGAATTAATAACAAGCAGAAGAATATGCTTTATTTATTTCAAGGCCAGGCTGATTGTAAAATTATGTACAAATAGGGAAGGGGCAGGAAGGTGGCACAGTGGATAGACTGTTGGACCTGGAGTCAGGAAGATTATCTTCATGATTTCAAATCTGGCCTCAGACATTGACTAGCTGTGTGATTCTGGTCAAGTCACTTACCCCTGTGAGCCTCACTTCCTCATCTGTAAAATGAGCTGGAGAAGGAAATGGTAAACCACTCCAGTATCTCTGTCAAGGAAACCCCAAATGGGGTCACAAAAAGACAGATACGACTGAACAACAGCAAATAGGGAAAGAAAAATCTGGATGAAAAAGAAAAGAGACTGTGCCTTTGTATGTGTTAAGCCGAGGGCAAACTCCACTGAAAGTCATTATACATCAATGTTGTCTTTCATATTAAAAAATGTTTGTGATCTTCAGTAAACACTGTTTACGAAAAAAGGAGTAAAAGGATTGGAGCTGCAGGAAGAAACTAGTATAGTGTTGGTAGAGCGTCAACGGAGGCAGCTAGGTGGCTCAGTGGATAGCAGAGGTGGGGAACCTGCAGCCTTGAGGCCACATGTGGCCTTCTAGGTCCTTGGGTGCAGCCTTTTAACCAAGACCAAGTTTTACAGAACAAATCCTTTTATTAAGGAATTTGTTCTGTGAAGTTTGGATTTGGTCAAAAGGCCGCACTTGAGGAGCTAGAGGGCCACATGTGGCCTTGAGGTCACAGGTTCTTCACCTCTGGATTGGGCCTGGAGTCCGGTAGACCTGAGTCCAAATCCAGCCTCAGATACTTACTAGCTGTGTGATCCTGGGCAAGTCACTTAACCTGTATTTGCCTTAATCCCCTGGAGAAAGAAATGGCAAACCACTCCAGTATTTTTGCCAAGAAAACCCCATGGACGGTATGGTCTATGTGGTCATGAAGAGTTGGAATCACTAAATACCACCACCACCAACAGGAGCTTCAGTGGCCAAGGTTGGTCCTAAAAAAGAGATAGGAAGACATACTCCTTCCCCTTTTTGTAGCACTGAGGAGCTATAGGTGTAGAATCCTGCATATACTATTGGATGTTTTTTCTCCTCTATCAAATGTGGTTTTTATTCAACTGATAAGCGCTTTTTCTACAGCTGCACTTGTGGAACATCACATGGCAACAACAGGAGTTTTCTAGACTTTTTTTTTCCTTTTCAACCTTATTAAAAATGAGATTGGTCCTAAAAACATAGAAAGAAAGAAATCTAAATTCACAAAAAAAACCCAACTATACATTGTCAAAAAGGCACTAAAACACCACATTTGGTTATATAAAAATTAGTGCCTGATAATAATGCAATCTCATTTTGACTCTTGCTGTGACCCCTTCTCTACACTAATAAATCAATTCTGAATCCATCAAGTTCTTGTTTTTCTGCAGCAGTTTTCTGAGTTCACTTCTGATGTATTTTTTTTTTCAGTATCTTCTCTATGCCCTGAGGTGGCAAACATTTCCTTAACAGCCTGAAAATCCTGCAGTAGAGTGCAAGGGCTTTGTATTATGTTTATGTTGTCAGACTGTTTCCATCAGGCCTGTCCCTACGCATCATGCAGGTGAGAAGAGGGAGTCTCAGGAACTCATCAGAACATTCCCATACCTTTGCTTAGAAGGAACCTTCTCCATCACCATCCTAAACCTAATCACATTCCCCTTTTTCTAGCTGTGAAAAATTCAGACTATTTTTAACTTAGTCTCATATAAATATTCTGAGGGGTTAGGAGCTAGAATTTTTAAATTCTAACTTATCAATTATTGGGTTTGCTATTTGTGTCTGCTTCTCATCATCAGCCTTGTATTTCTCAGCCTCCTGGACCATATACTCAATGTCTTCTTTGCTCACATGACCGTTGTCATTGGTGATGGTGATCTTCTCCTTGCCTGTGCTCTTATCCACAGCAGAAACATTGAGGATGCCATTGGCATCAATGTCAAATGTTACTTCAATCTGAGGAACACCCCTGGGTGCTGGAGGGATTCCTGTGAGCTCAGACTTGCTAAGCAGGTTGTTATCCTTTGTCCTTGCTCTCTCACCTTCATAAAACTGAATAAGCACATCAGGATAGTTAATAGTGGTAAAGATCTGTGTCTGCTTGGTGGGGATGGTGGTATTACGTTTGCTCACAACTGTCATAACTCCACCAGCAGTTTCAATTCCAAGGGAAAGAGGAGTGACATCCTACAGCAGTAAGTCTTGCACATTCTCAGATTTATTTTCAGGCAAAATGGCAGCCTGGACAGCTGTACCATAGGCAACAGCTTCATCAGGACTGATGCTCTTGTTGAGCTCCTTGCCATTGAAGAGGTCTTGCAGAAGCTTCTGGATCTGGGGGATGCACGTGGAACCACCCACCAGGATGATGTAATGAATCTGTGATTTATCCAACTTGGCATCTTGTAAGGCCTTTTCCACAGGATCCAGTGTGCCACGGAAGAGATTAGCATTCAGCTCTTCAAAACAGGCTTGGGTGATTGATATATAGAAGTACATACCTTCATAGAGGGAGTCAATCTCAGTACTGGCCTGGGTACTAGAAGAGAGTGTACACTTTGCACGTTCACAAGTGGTGCACAGATGGTGAACAGCCCTCTTGTTCTCACTGATGTCCTTCTTGTGCTTTCACTTCAACTCAGCAATGAAATGGTTGACCATTCGGTCGTCAAAATCCTCTCCACCCAAGTGGGTGTCCCCAGCTGTGGACTTGACCTCAAAGATGCCAGCTTCAATAGTAAGAATAGAGATATCAAAAGTACCACCTCCAAGGTCAAAGACCAACACATTTCTCTTGGCACCAACCTTTTTGTCCAAGCCATAAGTAATAGCAGCAGCAGTTGGCTCATTGATGATTCAGAGCACGTTGAGCCCAGGGATGGTTCCAGCATCTCTGGTGGCCTGACATTGGGAATCATTGAAATAGGCTGGTACTGTGACCACAGCATTTGCGACAGTCTTCCTGAGGTAAGCTTCAGCAATTTCTTTCATCTTGATCAATACCATAGAAGATACTTCTTCTGGAGAGAAACTTTTGGTCTTCTATTTGTAATCCACTTGGACCTTAGACCTGCCTGCATCATTCACCACCGTTAAAGGCCAATGCTTCATGTTTGACTGTATGACTGCATCATCAAATCTGCAACCAATGAGACGTTTGGCATCAAAAGCATGTTGGTGGGGTTCATTGCAACTTGATTCTTTGCAGCATTACCGATTAAATGTTCTGTGTCAGTGAAGGCGACATAGCTTGGGGTGGTCCTGTTTCCTTGGTCATTAGCAATGATCTCCACTTCCCCACATTGGAAGACTTCCACACAGGAGTAAGTGGTGCCAAGATCAATGCCAACTGCGGATCCCTTCGACATGGTTGCTGAAGAGTCAGAGCGGGGGTGGGGGGAGTTGTAGCTGACCACTGTGGAGGAAGAAGGGCTGCTGCTATACTGAGTAGCAACACCATTTCTAAACTGCCTATATCTAATCTTTTGATTGTTCAAAGTGATGAGATTGAATTTTTTAACATTCATTTTTTTAAAATTTTGAGTTTGAAATTCTGTCCTTCCAGCCTGTCCCTGACCCATTGAGAAGGCAAGCAATATGATACCCATAAAAATGATATTATAAATGAAATAAGAGCACTGGAAGAAAGAATTGCAAAAGAAATGAGAGTTATGGAGGAGAGATTTGGGGAGAGAATTAACAACTTAACACAAGAGTCATAAGACATTATTCATGTAAATTACAAGACTCCTTAAAAATCAGAATGGAACAAATGGAAGTTAATGACTCCATGAGACAACAAGAAATATTACAAAGTTAAAAGATTGGGAAAATAGAAGAATATGTAAGATATCTTATATAAAAAACAACTGACCTAGAAAATAGATCAAAGAGAGATAATTTAAGAATAATTGAAAAGCTATGACCCAAAAAAAGAACCTAAATATCCAATTTTAAGAAATCATGCAAAAATAAATAAATAAAAAAATTTTTAAAAAGAAATCATTCAAGGAAACTGCTCAGTCATATTAGAACAAGAGGACAATGTGAAAATTCAAAGAATCCCCCAATCACCTACTGAAAGAAACCCCCAAATGAAAACTCCAAGAAATGTCAGAGCTTACAAATAAAAACAAAAAATATTGCAAGAAGACATGAAGAAAGAGTTTAAGTAATGAGTAACCAGGGGTACCTAAGTGGTGCAGTGGATAGAGTGCCAAGCCTGAAGTCAGGAAAACTCCTCTTCCTAAGTTCAAAACTGGTCTCAGATACTTACTAGCTGTGTGACCTGGGCAAGTCATTTAACCCTGTTTGCCTCAGTTTCCTCATCTATAAAATGAGATGGAGAAGGAGATGGCAAACTACTCCAGTATCTTTGCCAAGAAAACCCCAAATGGGGATACAAAGAGTTGGACATGACTGAAAAATAACTAAACAACAACCACAAAATGAAAAAAAAAACCATTGTCAGGATCACACAAGACATTAAAGAATAGAAAGTGTGGAATGTAATATTCCAAAAGATAAAAGATGCAGGCCTACAACCAAGAATAACTTACTTAGTGAGACTAAGAATAATTTTTCAAGAAAAAAAATGGGTTTTTAATGAAGTAGAAGACTTCTAAGCAGAGTGAATAAAAACTTTGAAATATATATGTGGGAATCAAGAGAAAGATAAAAAGGTAAATAGAAGTGAACAATCTGAAGGGATTTTATAAGGATGAATTGTTTACAGTCTAATGGATGATACAAAGGTCCCTTTTGTTTGCTAATATCATTTGAAGTCATTAAGGGAGTCAAATGAGATAGAAGGTCTGGAAATGGTTTTGTTATGTTTTGATGATGTTAAAAAAAGGGGAGAAAAAGAAAAAAGGAAAGAAGATTTTTTTAAAAAGGAAGTAAAAGAGAGAAAAGGGATAACTGGGAGAAGAAGAAAGAATAAGGGAAGTGATCTCATATAATTAGGGTATACAAGTAGAAATGTGTACAAATGTAGGAGTGTACTGGTAAATGTTTGACAGCTCTCTGTGGGAAAAAATATACAACTGACACATTTTTAAGTTTAATCTGTATATTTTCTCCATGACTTTCATAAGTCTAGACAAGCAACAAAATAATAAATCAAGTCCTGATTTATAGCATGTACCTATTTCCAAAGTGTAAACACTCACACTGAAAACATAATAATTAGCTCTTACAAGTTAGTACAAGCTTGCTCTAGCATACCTCTTGGTGGGGAAAAGGCATCACTTGAACCTCACTTTCATCTGATTATAAAGGGTTAAGAAGAGAGTGAGAGGAGAGAAAGTGGAGGACCTAATTGTAGATGGCCTTTTCAAGGAATTTAGCTATAAAGGGCAAAAGAGATATAGGACAATAATTAGCAGAAAGATCAAGTGGAGATTTTTTTTCAGGATAGGGGGAGACCATGTGCATGTTTGTAGGCGGTGGGAAATGAGCCAATAAAGAGGGAGAAATTGAAAATAAATGAAAGTGGGGATGACAGAGGGGGTAATCTATTGGAGGAGATGGGATGGAACAAGGAGACAGGTTAGACCTAATCAGGAGTAAGGCCATTTCATCATGTGAGCCAGAGGTGGAGAAGATAGTTGCAGAAGGCATTTTGAGTGATAGATGAGACAGAGGGAAGACAGAGCTTATGCCAAATGTCCTCAATTTTTTCTATAAAATATGAAGCAGGGGGGCAGGTAGATGGCACGGTAGATAAGAGCACTGGCCCAGAAGTCAGGAGGACATGAGTTCAAATCTGACCTCAGACTAAATATTTGACACTTACTAGCTGTGTGACCCTGGGCAAGTCACTTAACCCCAATTGCCTAAATATTAAAAAAAATGTCAAAATATGAAGCAGGGTTCTCAACTGAGAGAGGCAGGGAGAGCTATAATAGATTTGAGGAAGGATTAAAAGATTTGGAAGAGCCATCGTGAAAAGTGGGATAAGAAATTTGTAAGGGAGGTATAGTGAGATTGCTTAGCAGCAGTAAGGGCCCAGCTGAGATGGTGTAACATGAATTTGTAGTAGACCCAGTCAGAATGGTTCCATTATTTTTTCTACTTCCTTTCAGGAGCACCTGTGTAGGACTGAGTGATGGATGATGGGAAAAATCCAAGACTGAGGCTTGGGTGGGTGTAATCAACAATATGATAGGGGACTAGAGATTCAAAAGAGGGCAGGGTAGAGTTGGAAAGCCAATTGTAGTCAGAGAAGGGGATTTCAGAAATCTTGAACAAGGAGGTGGTACGTTCGTGGGTGATGGCAAGATCAAGGGTATGACCGTCTTTGTGTGCCACTGAGGTGGAGTGAAGGGGTAGCTCATAGGAGGTGAGGAGGTAACTTCTCCTAAACCTATTCTTTATCCTCATTGTAACTTCCTATGTTGCCATTCTTCTAGGCTATCATCACCCCCATTCTGGCTTCCCTTTCTAATCTCCTATCTTTTAGTTAGCTAATCCAAGTCTTCACTAGGCATCCAGGTGGCATAGTGAATAATGCACTGGACTTGGAGTCAGGAAGACCCAAGTTCAAATCTGTCTCAGACACTATCTGTGACCCTGGGCAGTTTCCTCATCTGTAAAATGGAGATAATAATAGCACGCACTTCCCAGGGTTGTTGTGAAGATCAAATGAGATACTATTTATAGAGCACTTTGCAAACTTGAAAGTGCTATATAAATGCTAGTTATTACCTCTACTCTTAAATCATGCATTCCCATTCACTTTTGGTTTTTCATATTTAAACACTGTAGTCCCATCTCTGGATTACCCCCCACCATCTGACTCCTCTGCTCTTATTCACAAGCTGGCGATCAGAACTGGAAGTCTCACAACTATGCTGATTGGATACACTAAAATTTTCCACTGTAGGAATACACTCCTTTCTTCCTTCTATAATTGATTCTCTATTCCTCTTTTCCTAAAAGTTGTTCTAAACCTCTTCTCTCCTTAAGCTACCTCCACTCTCTCTGTTGAAGACCGGGTAAATAAGGTCTTAAAAAAAATAACATCTTTCTCTGCAAACTTCCTGTTTTTCCTTTCTCTACAACTCAAATCGCCTTGACATCATTTCCCCTCCCCCATTCTCTTCCCTTTACTCCAATCTCTGATGATTTGGTGGTCCTTCTCCTTGCCAAGATCAACTCTATTACATGTACCCTCAACCGAATCACATCCCCTTTCTTCTTTCTCCAGCAGATTGCCCTCACAATCATCCCTTCCCTCTATTTAATCTTCAGTATTTCCCTAACTACAGGTTTCATCCCTATTACCTATAAACATGCCCATATCACCCCCATCCGTCTCACTCCTATATATGTACATGTTGTCTCTCCTACCTAGATTGTGAGCAGTTAAGTGAAAGTGTATAGATCACTGAACCTGGAGGCAGGATGTCCAAATCTGGCCTCAGATAGTATGTGACCCCGGGCAAGTCACTTAACTCTGTCTTCCTTTGCTTCCTCATCTGTAAAATAATAATAATAATAATAATAATAACATTCACCTCCTAGGTTGATGATTTGATGAGGATCAAGTGAGATATCTGTACTTTGCAAACGTCAAAGCACTACATAAAGGCTTGGTGTGATGATGATGATGATGATGATGATGATGATGATGATGAACTCCTTGGAGGCAAGAATGGTTTCTTTTTTTTTTTTTGTATCCTTAGTGCTTAGCACAGTGCCTGGCATATAGTATGTACTTAATAAATGCTTGTGTGGGCAGCTAGATGGCACAGTGGATAGAATGCTGAGCCTAGAGTCAGGAAGACTCATTTTCCTTAATTCAAATCTGGCCTCAGACACTCATTAACTGTGAATTACTTAATCCTGTTTGCCTCAGTTTCTTCATCCATAAAATGAGCTGGAGAAGGAAATGGCAAACCACTCCAGTGTCTCTGCCAAGAAAATCCCAAATGGGGTCACAAAGACTGAAATGACTGAACAATCAAAAAAATAAATGCTTATAGATTGAGTGGTGAGGGAAAACTTCTGGGACTTGAGCTGGGCCCAGTAAGTTTAGTTAGGAAGAACAAGGCAGCAGAACATTCCAGGTATGGAGACTAATGAGAACAGAGGAAATTTGGATTCCCGGACCATGGTAGACAGGAGGCCAGCTTACCTGGAGCACAGGAATCACAGACTGAGAGGTGGAAAAGATCTTAGCAATCATTTAGTCTGACCCTTTCATTTCACCAATGAAGAAACTGAGACAAGCCCAGAGAGATTAAATGATCTGTTCAAGGTTACACAGGTAATAAACAGAGACAAGATTTAAACTTGTGTCCTCTCATTTCAAGTCCATTGTTCTTTCTACTTTACCATGGGGCTTCATAATGGGCCTATACTG